ATAACACATGTGGCTGCCAAAATTGATTAAATCAATAGACAAATTATGGAAAACAACCTGACATAGTAAGTATTAATCAATGAGAAGATGTAATAGTGATAACAATGGCAGCTACTTAATCTTTTCTAAGGCACCACCCTGGCCTCCTGCCTTTCAGTACAATGGTTTCCCTCTGGCGCCCCGGAGAATGATGGGTTCTAGTAGTAAAATTGTGTGGGACATCCTAAATTAACAATATATATCTTTTTAAAATGAGGGATCCTACTTGTTACTCAGCATCAAGAATAATTAAAAAGTTAAGCAAGGAAGCATACAGAACCTTCAGCAAATAAATCTTAAATGATAAGATGCTGACTTGTCCAAGGGGTTCTATGTTATTACCATTTGGGGACTTTTTTTTGATTTACAAAGTTAATGTGAAACTGCCAAATACTCTTGGCTTGAAACATCTCAAAGAAAAACAAAAGAAAAGAACATCAAATATGAATGGAAATGTCTCTATGGATAATTTAAAATAGGTTAGAAAAGTTTCCATGGTTTTAAATTGAGTAAAGCAAACTTAAAATGCTGCTTGGTATTGTAGCTACCAACGTCTTAATAGAAAACATGAAAAATAAACTCTTAATATGGAAAAAATGAAATCAATGGACACAAACTTTAGATCTACAATGTAAACACACCATCAAGCAAGAACCTATATGTAGTAACCACACAATGTGGTTTTAATATACATTCTCCCCGTGCCCTGACATTCAATCAATCCGAGCACACATTATGTTGCCAAGATTTTGCTATGCAAATTGTTGTCACAAAAAAAAAAAAAAAACATAAAATTCCTACTCTTGCTTTATAGAGCTTGCAGTATAGTTAGGAAGTGACACACTAGATCCAGTTTTGCACCCAGTTCTATACTGGCTCTGCAGAGCTCACTGCAAGTGATAATGGAATCCTGAGATGGAAGCTGCCAGCTGGGCCAGGTGAAGCAGCATGAGGAGTCTGATATAAAGAGGATTAGAAGCCACGGTGAGGTGGCTGATCCTCTGAATCTAAGGACACTGCCTGAAAGCACCATTAATAGGGAGAAAAGATGCTCATCATGACCACAAGCCTCCTGTGGAAAAACCAAGCTCAGTGGGAAGATGTAGGCTTGTTGTCAGCGTGTTTGAATTTTCTATCCATGCAACCTATAAAGCTTGAACAAATTTAGATAGAATGAAAATGTAAATACAGAAATATGTAACAATCTTTGTGATGATTGGAAGGGTGTGGAACTTTCCCCCAAGGAAGCAGAAAAGGAGACAGTGTTCCAGGAAAGATTCAGATATGATACATTCACCTAGGACAAGCTATTGTGATCATTCCTGTTAAAATTTGACCGTGGTGGAAGACAGATTCATGGGCTTTCAGAAAAAACAAAAACAGTGTTTGAAAATTATCCATAAGGGAAAACAGTTTCAAAAGAGTGATTTAAGTTCTCTTGCCTTTCTTACACTTAGATCAATTTTCCTTTAACATTTTAATTTTTCTTCTCAATACCCTAATGTGGCATACCCTTAATTTACCAGAATGCAAGTGCATGTACATACACGTGATACTGTAGAATAATGGACATATCAAGAGGTGTGTAGCATGGGTGAAATGAAAGGAAGCTCTGAGGCATGACTTCTGGATTCCTCAGCTTACTCTCAGGCCAAGCATAGAGTAATTACCAACACAATACTCTGGCATCTTGCTCACACACTTACAATTTATTTTGTAAGATTTATTTGAAAGATGGAGTCACACACACACACACACACAGAGAGAGAGAGAGAGAGAGAGAGAGATTGAGAGAGATTAAGAGAGAGACCTTCCATCCACTGGTTCACTCCACAAAGGGCAGCAACGGCCATATCTGGGCCAGGCTGAAGTCAGGTGCCATGAACTCCTTCCAGGTTTCCCACATGGGTGGCAGGAGCCCAAGTACTTGGACCACCTTCTGCTGTCTTTACAGGTGCATTAGGAGGGAACTGGATTAGCAGCACAGCAATCGGAACTCGAAATGACACCCCAGTACAGGATGCTGGCATAGCAAGTGGAGGCTTAACCCACTTCATCATGACACCAGGACTTAACTTGCTGCACTACAACACTAGCTCCACCCCCACACTCACAACTCAGTGGACAGGGACAAAGCTGATGAACCAGTTCTTCCCCTACCTCTACCACTACCTTGTCTGGTTGATATTATGCCAGCAATGTGTCATCTCATTTGCTGAATGAGTTGAACCAGCTGACCTCTTTGGACACCCAAACCCAAGGTGCTCTAACCCTCTCATCTCAGATCCAAGCTCAGGGTCTTGCTCATGCAATGAGGCAATCAAGAACACACAGTTAACAAGTTAACCCTTCAGGTATGTAGCTGAGAAACATTGAGCAGTTCCTCTATCCAGGACTCCAATGCCACCTTTCAGTATGTTGGAAATGCTTCTGTTATTTTATGATTGAATTACTCAGGCATAGTAAGCAGTTTTTCATCTTTAATGTCTTCCTAAGTATTAAAATGCCCTGGAGAAAAGAAATTTCAACTGTGCTTAAACTTTAGTTGTATGGGGAAAGTGTGGGGACCACAAACAGCTATGGTCTTGGCAAAAGACAGTGTCCAGAAGTTGAGGCACACACTGCTTCCTCTAGGGGAAGTCAGGATTCTGCAGCAGTCTTGTGAGAAAGGCCCTCAAAGGAATTTCAAATCATTACTTATGTCTCAGTGCATCTTCAAGAAAAGCAAACCACGCAGACAGAGAACAGGTGTGGCCCAGAGAAGCTCAGATCTCTTCACGGGCCACAAGAGAAGTGTCTACAGTAAAAGCCAAGGAGAGTGTAGTGGGTGATGCACTCACAAACGTCACCACTCCACAATGAGCTCAGATTTTCCACTTACAAAAAGGTTGAACGAAAGATCTCTAAGATCCCTTCTCAGATTCAGGTTGTGTGTCCGGGGCTAGTTGAATCATATTTAAAAACTTCTGCTTTTCTCATCTAGGAGAAGCTGCACATTCTCTCAGACAAAACAGAAGTTATGGAAACACATTGAGATCCTCTAGTAAAAGCATTAATTTTTTTTTCGACAGGCAGAGTGGACAGTGAGAGAGAGAGAGACAGAGAGAAAGGTCTTCCTTTGCCGTTGGTTCACCCTCCAATGACTGCCGTTGGTTCACCCTCCAATGACTGCCGTGGCTGGCGCGCTATGGCTGGCGCACTGCGCTGATCTGAAGGCAGGAGCCAGGTGCTTCTCCTGGTCTCTCATGGGGTGCAGGGCCCAAGCAATTGGACCATCCTCCACTGCACTCCCGGGCCATAGCAGAGAGCTGGCCTGGAAGAGGGGCAACCGGGACAGAATCCGGCCTGTCCTAGTCCCCTGACCGGGACAAAAACCTGGTGTGCCAGCCCCGCTAGGTGGAGGATTAGCCTGTTGAGCCGCGGCGCCGGCCAAAAGCATTAATTTTTAAGATACCCATCAAAAGGGGGCAGGGAGAGAGAAACCAGACATAAAAATGAGCGCTAACAAAAGAAACGAGCCACAGGACTGCTTTCAAGCAGCTCTCCATACCCCCTTTGACTTGTAATATCTGTCAGAATGTTCTCTGAGCTCCTCAATGATGCTACAGTTCAATTTATAGAAATTCATGTTCTATTTCTCTTCCAGAAAATATCTGCTGCTGCTGCTGAAAATGAGGTTCACCTGAGTAGAGCATAATATAACATTCCACGATTAGGAAGCTATGCCAGTTTGGTGAATATTCCCTGGCCCATGCCAAAGTACCCATTCTCCCCTCTCAGACTCATAAACTGACTCATAAATGTCACACAAGACCTCACAGGTCGGCAGGAACGTGTCCACACTACCCCTTCACTTTAAGACAGATGAGTGCTCCCTTGCCAGTTCAGTGACTCTTTGGTCCATTTTCTTTGTTTCAAGTGCCCCTCTTTCTCCAGAGAAAGCAGTGCCCATCTGGGGCAGCTGGTTTCCTGAGAGGTATGGATGACTGAAGATAATCTCCTTCTCCCAGAATCAATCTCTATTCTTTCCCTAATAAGTGGGTAGCTAAAAAAGTGATGGATAGAGAAAGGGAAAGGAGAAAAAAGTTCCAATTAAAAAGTATTCCATTTTTCCACGTATTTTTCTGTCATTCTGCCAGAAACTGTAAGAAGACCTAACTATTTAATGTGTGACTGTCTAAATCTGGCAAAAATTTTCTTTTTGTAAAATAGTAAATCCTAGAAAGAGATGAGGAGACTTCTTCTAGGAATAGTCCTGTTTAGATGTGGATAAAGTGAGGGAGTTATAGAGAAAAATAAAGGAATTAAAAGAGTGAAAAAAGAAGGTGTGAGAAAAGATCAAAAGGAAACAACAAAACAGAGAAAAAAAGGAAATATAAGAAGAATTCAGGAACGTGCATTAAAAGTTGTCAAACTCCTTCTTTGGACTATTGAGGAAACTGGGACCTAAAGTATGGAAAGAGGAAGGACACAGAAAATCAGAAGAGAAAAAAGGAGAAGCAGGAATAATCAGGAAAGGAACAGGATGGAGGAACGGGAAAGAGAGTTTGCATGGCAAAGCTGCATCTGTGGCAACAAAGCCCAAGAAGTCCTCGTCTCGGAGAGCACATTCCGTCCTGGCTATCACTGCAGTCCTGTGGACATGACTGCACCAGTTATATTTAGCTCCAATGTAACTCAAGTCAATAGCGTTCCACTAGGGCAGCTGCTGCAGTCCTGGAGGGATGTTTTACTACCTACCCTAGAATAGCCGTGTCAAGGGCCTGGGCCTTCACAGCTACAGAACTGCACTATGTTTATATACAAAGGAGCAGCATTTTGAACATAACTGATATGACTGTTAACATAGTTTAATAGTCTGCTATATAACAGGACAGCATTTTCAGAAGACCAAAGTCATTACTCTTGATTTCTAACAATGTCCCTTCCCCCAGTCCCTGCAAGCAAATATTGGCCTTTACCTTATATGGTATGTTCTCTCCTGGTTTTCTGGTCTTCACTTCAAGTCCACAAAGGACTGTGTGATTTGGAAGAATACTTTCTGCTCTCTCCTTGAGCACCCCCAGGACCAACTGAGTTATGGAAATGCCTACATGCTTCTTCTGATGCCAGGGGAACATGGCTGACTCTTACTGAAAAAACAGCTTAGTGATTGAAGGGTTGGCAAGTTACCAGCCTGCATACCCTATACCAGAAATGAAGATCTGCCACCACCCAGAAGTGCTAAGTCTGGGAAGAGTTGAGAAAGTCAGGCTTGACCCAAATAATTCACCAAGTAATTATGAGTCATTGTTCTAGATAAAGCATCCTGTTAATTACTGTGGGACCAAACCACACACAGGCATTCCCTTCTCTCTCCAGGAGATCCAGTTATAACACTTGCGTAACAACAATCACACAAGGTAGACTCATGGAATAGATGAATGGGCTTGAGATGAGTGCTGAGCAAGGGATAGGCCACTGCAATCTAAGAAGCCTGGGAGAACTGTTCAGAGAAAGAGACCCCTTTCTTGAAGAATGAATAGGGCATTGACGAGCAGAGAAGAGGGAAGACAGTCATCCAATTGTCAGAGAAAATAAGCAAAGATGCCCCTTATTTTTTGGTTGTGTATAGACAGACACTTGCAAAACTAAAATTCCCAATCATGTGCACTGACAAACATCAACAGATCCTCCTTAACTGATTCCTGAAACAGAAGCCCAAAATTTTTGACAAGAAGCAATCAATTGATTAACCAAAAGCTAAACGTCCCTCTTCCATGAAGCCAATCTAGGTGAAGTTAAGATGCCCCTGTAGAGAATGTCTGGATCCTTAGATGAATAGTGGTCTCTGCTTTGGAAGAAAGTACACATCCAGAGGTACTGCTGAGGGAAAATGATGGGACCACCAGCCCTGGTCAGAACCTTGAAAAGAAGAGTCTCTGGAGGATACTGTATGCCAATCACTCCTTTCAAGCACAGGATTGCCCATGAAGAGGCAAGCACCTGGCAAGGAAGGCAGTTTACTTTAGCCAGGGTTCCCCTACTAGCTGTCTAATTCCTTTAACCTGGACTGGGCTGAAGGAGCAGAGGAAGAACATTCTCATTAGCACATGAAATGGATCATTTCCAGTGGCCAGATGGCTCCCCATAAATACATTAATGACTTTATAGGCATGTCTGCCTGGAAAAGAAATGGTTTAACTACCACAGTGTGGGAAATGTGCCTTTTGGATTTTGTATAAACTAAATTAAAGACCGAGGTTTTATTTTAGAAGTATGTATTACATTATCCCCTTTACCACACCTCATTCTTTATAGATGGCAAGCTCAATAAACAAGCTTCATATTTGGTTCAAAGAAAACAGAATGCTTCAAACCTTTAATGATGCTTTGAACAAGGATGGTCCCAGTGCTGAGCAGCACACACACATATGTATGTGCACACACCTTCACACCCACTCCTCACTGGTAACAAAGCCAAGGCTTCCTTCTCCTTCAGAGCATGGCTCTATAGTGCCAATACTGCTGTCCTGCTTCAGCTGGAAGACTTTCTAAATGTGGTCATATACCTGTCATGAAGTCCTTATCTTTTGCTTCCATATAGGTTCCAAGCCTGTCCACTTTTCTGTTTAGTTTTCCATCCATCTCTCAACCAAACTACCACAAGAGCCTCTTAATTGTTTTCTGGACCTTTTTAATCTTTTTCTATAGTTTCTAGAAGGATCCCTTTACAAGCAAATCTAATCTTGTCATGCCACTACTTCACCCCTTTAAAAGCTCCCATTGCTTTGAAGGTAGAGACCAGGCGACTCTTCCTTCTGGTCAGCTAGGAGCAGGACAAGTGTCTACTAGTTCCAATTTCATCTCCCACTGTCCCTTATTACTTCATCCGCCCAAAAGTGGCTGCCCAGTTCCTGAACACTGGCTCTGTTACACACACACACTCCATCCCCAAGCACAGCCTTCTCCTGACTTGGGATGTTTTTCCTTTTTCCACTCATTGGCTCACTCCTGTTTATCCCTGGTATAGCTGGATCAGGAGAGGTCCCTGCTTCTCACAGCTCTATGTCTTCTTCAAAGTCTTTATTACCTGTGGAACCATTTATTTACATTTTGACTATTGGGTTCACACCATCAATATCAGCTCTGGTATGACAATCATGTCAGAGAATGAGTATGGAAAACTTTAAAGAATCATAAGCAAAATCGTAGTGTAAATCATTATTTTTTTCCATTCTCACTTTAAAGGACTCATCAATTCTCAAACACAATGTAAATGACATGGTGATAGCATCCCTTGTCCCAAACATGAAAGGGAAATGGCTTCCAGCTCTTTCTATTTTGGCCTAAGACAATGACAATCACAATCTGATGAATGATTGCCTTGAAATCTCCTGGCATCAAATGCAAATATACTTCCCTGGGGCAAAGAAGCTACTGACAACCACTAGTCCAAGTCTGGACCATCTCTGTGGTCCTCACACACCTGCTTCCTAAAGTGCCAGCAGCCAAAAGGGAAGTAAATATTAACTGTGGTAGGGAATGATTAGTCAGTTGTGGACAGCTGTCCACAGTCCCCAAGGTACTGACCTGAAAAGGAGATGAAAGGAAGAATGATTGCAGAAACTTTCCTTCGGGCTGGACATCTCACATGTGTCTTTCTGGGTCAACTCACTACTTCCTCTCCTCCTACACTCCACTCAGGGGTACTGAGTTCTCTGCCTTTAGACTCTTGTTTCTTTAACCAATGGCTTCAGCCAAGGGAGGTCACCAGCAAGCGATCACAAGGAAAGAGGTGGCAGTCAACGGGTTGTCTCCCCAACTTCCCTCATCTGTTGCCCCAGGTTGGCTGTGACCTTAACTGGAGGCCTCAGTTCCTATAAAATATCCCTCTATCAAAGCCTGCTTGTGCACTCTTGTTCACTCCCTGTCCCCAAACAACCTGGATATTCTGGAATTGACTCCTCCCACTTCATACCTGGGGTAATTTTAGTTCTCTTGGGCTATTACCATCCTGAGACACGGCAGCAACTTTTGTGGGAGAGAGTCATAGCTACAACAGGCACACAGATAACAACAGACTAAGATGAGTTTTAGGAAGTAAGGGACACATTTCTATGAGAGTCCTCAGTTTGGGGATTTGAGGGTGAATGTGAAACCTGGTAGTCAGGGAAAGCTTCCTTGAGCCAACAACAGAACTAAGTCACATTGAGGTGATGTGTGAGTAGGAACTTAATGGAGGTGACAGAAGAACAATCTGTGCAAAGGCCCTGTCACACTTTCTTTCCTTTGTAACCATTGGGCTCTTAGTCCTTCATTTCCTATTTGGCTTCTTAGGCTATTTTCTGCACATACTTTGCTATTGTGCACAGATACACAAATATAAGACAGTAATACTAATATAAGGTAATTCAAAATGTTTGTGGAAAATTGAATAGGTTTACCTTGGTTCAAAATACTTTGAAATCCATGTATATGAGGGAACTTGAAAAAGTTCATGGAGGGGAAGATATTTAGCCTAACAGTTAAGAGGCTGATTAAGACACTTGTGTTCTATATTCAAGTGCCTGGGTTCAATTCCCAGGGCCATCTCTTGACTCCAACTTCCTCCTAAAGCAGATCCTGAGAGGAAACAGTAATCACTCCAAAAATCTGGTTCCTGGCACTCATGTGAGAGATATGAATTGACTTCTCATATCCTAGCTTCAGCACTAGTCCAGCCTGGCCACAGTAGGCATTTGGGAAGTGAACTAGCAAATGGGAGTGTGCTCTCTCTCTCTCTCTCTTTCAAATTTTAAAAAAATGAGTCTTTAAAAATTTATAGAAAATTCATGTTATGAAAAATCTATATGCATGGGTCTCACTAATTTTTCTGTTTCCATTTTTCCTTTAACTTTTTGAATTACTCCTAAAATCACATTAATAAGAATCTTCAAGTTTGGTTTCACTTCTCTACTACCTAAAACTTCCCACAGCCCAGACCTTGTCCACAGCACACAACATAGCAACAAATACACAGCTGTAGTCCAATAAACATGTGCAACTGAATGACCGAGGAGCCAAGGGATGGGGAAAATCCAACAGAAGCCTAGTACAACTTTCAGTGGAGGCAGGTACATGAAATGTGGACCAGTCCACCTTTAGCTAAGTTGGAGGTTGACCTTAGACAAATTACATTTATCTGCAGATCATGTTTGATTAGGTCTCAGACCCTAAAAAAAGAGATCAGAGAAGAGTTACTTTGGCCCCTTGAATCCTTGGGAGCTGGGACCCAAGTGACCTCTGTTCCCAGGGCAACACCTTACATTCAGCCTCAGTGAGGGGTTTCATGATACCTGGCCCCACAAATACAGAGCAGTAGAGAAGACTGGAGGTTTCCTTCTAACCAGAAACCTTCACTGATGGCCCCTGGTGCCTGGAAAAAAGATACTTTTTATCCTAAATCAGGAGTGATATTGTAGATTCAGGTCTTTTTAACAATTTTTCTTTTGCTTCTACCTTAGGGTGCAAGTTTGATTTCTGGCTATCTTCCTATTCCCCCAGAAGTGAGAAAGAATCCACAAAGGAGACAAAAAAGTCAACCTTGACTTAGTGGAAGGGATTTCACTGCAGCAGAAGAAAGAGATGGGCAGAGCAAGAATACGCCCTATCAGCCCATGTCCGTGACTCACTTCAGTGTGGCCTCAGGGAGACGCCTTCCCTGAGGTATTCAATTTCTCATCTGTAAAATGCATGTCTTCTTCCTCACGGCTCAGGGGAACATCCATTTCTCTGACATTAGTGAAAAATGGATCATATTCATGTATTTTAAGGTAATTCTGAAACACACACTAACAAAGTAGGTGCTATATCATATACAGTTATTTATGCATACATGTAAGGAAATGTATAAATTGAAGCTTGGGAGTTATAACATCTAGAGTACATGCTATTATTCAAAAGTTTAAACATATGTGAGAAAACTCATAGCCAATATGCTGATATACGGCATTGAAACCAATATGTCAACACTTATAAACAGGAAAACATCTATAGAATTACAATCAGCCACAGCTACCTCTTTACACGTAGGCCATGAAGGAGACCGTTGCTGAGCATCTCTGGTTAAGCATTGACACACACCAGGATCTGCATGTAACCTGTTCGTTAAGGTGCAGTGCCCAGCTACTTAATACATCACTGGCAGATCAAGTTCAGGGAACAAAATTGAGCAAGTGCATTCCTGAGGCCCCATTTACCCCCCCACTTCAGGTGAGAGGAAATACAGAGAAAAGGACAGGGGAGGAAAGAGGGGAAGAGATAGATAAAAGGAAAGATTACCCTTTTGCTGCTGTAAAGCATCCAAACGTTTATAAAAGTTGTGTGAGTGTGTGTGTGTGTTGGGGGGAGGGGAATCAGTCTATGGATATAGTGTGTTTGTGCTGGTCAAATTGTGAAATCATGTCACTCAAGAAAATGTTGTAGTAGGAGTTGTTCAGACAGGAATATACTATATGTAGAGCAAGCTAGGATTCTGTCATTTAACGGACTATCACTGACTGGGCATTGACTACTCAGTATTGCCTATCACTTCCACTGTCTCAGCCTCACATTACTCATTTGTAACATGAGACACTTATATGACATCCCTGGTTTTCAACTTGGGCTACAGTTAGAAATACATGAGGAGCTTTTAACAAATACAGATCCTAGGGCCCCACCCCGATAAGAATCTCCTTAGGTTAGAGACAGGCACTGGTATTATAATAGCTCCCCAGGTCATTTTAATGTGCCTTCAGTTGGGGCCAACAAGCACTCTTCTAGATTAACCCAGTTAATTCTAGACTATCACAGAGGTCTTCTCCAGTATGACATTCACGAATCCTTCTAGTTCTAAAACTTTATTTAACTCGATCACTCTTCCCATTTCCTCTTCAACTCTGTTTTTAATCTTAATCCTGAGGGAAACACCTTACATAAAATACTGACATTCCTTTTGTAAATTCTCAATACATAAATTCACTGAAGCCTATTGAATATGGAAGATCTGTGGAGCGAACTTTCTATTATAGAAGAACTAGTTGAATCTTAATTTAAGACCAGTTTGCTCTGATTTTTTAGCATAAATGTCACTAGTTTGATTACATCATTTCTCATTCCAGGTAGAGGAGAAGCACACATCTGAAGGTCACTGGTGAAAGAATTGGTTGTATTTCTCAACAGTGGTAAAGAAGCAAAGCTAGCATCCAGACAATGAGAGAGAAACTTAAACAGATAGAAAAACACAGCATAACATTGCAGTCTGAGGACTTCTGGTGTAGAGGTAAACTGCTCTACCCATCTTTAAAGACTCTGAAGATATTTTCTTGTCAACTGTGTAATCATTAAGGGGAGAACAGTTTACATTCAGGAACTCTAAAAAGGCAAGGGCATGGTGGATGTGTGGCAATTTTCTAAGCAATGTTTTTAATCTTCCAAATATTAGGGATCGACATAGAGCATTGTGGTATTTTCATAGAGCTTTTAAAAGTAGTCCTGATATCTCTCATCTTTTCCAACCCAAACTGCTCAGTAGGGCCAGGAATTTAGCCTAGTGGTCGACATCCATGTCCCATACTGGTGTGCCTGGGTTTGACCCTCGGCTCTAGCTTCTTCCCAGTGCAAACCCTGGGAGACAGACATGATGGCTCAGTAGTTGAGTCCCTGTCTTCCAACATGGGAGACCTGGATTGATTTCTCAGTTCCCCTTCAGCTCTGCCCAGGCCAAGTTGTTGGGGGCATTTGGGAAGTGAACCCACAGAGGAAAGAGCTCATTCCTTCTCTCTCTGACTCTCAAATGTATAACTTTTAAAAATCACTCTTCTGATTTTTAGCAGATAATGTTCACTTCTGGATGTAACCAGCAAACAAATTCAGAACCCCCAGACTCTGCAGTTGGGCATACTGAGACATAGAGAAAGAAAATGATTTCCCCCTGCCATTCAGTCAGTAGACATGATTTAAAACCATTCAACTACTCACACCCTACTTTCAGTTACATCTAAGATGACTGCAAGGAACCCAGGCTATGAGGAAAAGTGAACCAAGTAGCGATGAATGAGGACTAAACACAAAGGAGTCACTGACATTGTGGGGATCAAAGAGGAGCCTAAGACCACAAGGGGCCCATAAGCAGTTTTAGTGACCATCACCATTAGTTGTGGCATTTAATAAGCCATGGTGTTCCAAGAAGAGACAGAGATGAGTGGGAATGCAGCAAAGCGACTGTCAGGCAATCCACTAAATGTCAGGAACACACCATGGTGAGCAGTAAATTGTTGACAATAGCATCTCCTGATCAGTCACCCCTACTTAGCACTTCAGATCTATTACACTTAGGTGAAAGCAACACCAGCTCTTCTTGCTTTTCTGAAGTATGGGAATCACATTTTTCTTGGAACCAGAGGTCAGGGCCTCTGACAAATTTGCTGAACTGAGAAGGTCATGATCCTCCACTCAATCTGAATCCTATCTGGGATATCACATTGAAGATACTGAGCTCATAAATGCTTTCTTGTTTTTAACCCAAGGAAGAATCCTGACACATAAATCTCAGATTCAAGATGCAACTGGTCTCTGATATCAAGAACAATGCCTAAGAAGAGACATGAAGGAAGAGGACCAGGAAATCTTCTGATTATTTTCTTTTGGTGACATTAGAAAATGATGTGGTATGTTAAAGAGAGTGTTAGACAAAAATTCAAAGACTGAGGTGTATCCATTTGGCTAGTGGTTAAGACATTAGTGGGGATGCCCAGATTCTAGATCAGAGTGCTTAGACCTGAGGTCTGGCTCTGTTCTCAATTCCAGCTCCTTATGCACACTCTGGGAAGCAGTGGTGATGGCTCAAGTAGTTGAGTCCCCACCATGTGGGAGACACAGACTGGCTATTGTGGGCATTTTGAGAGTGAACCAACAGATGAGAGTGTTCTCTCTCTCCCCTCCCCCTCACTGTTTCCATCCACTTCTTCTTTTCTCTCTGCCATTCAAGTAAATAAATAAAAAAGCACTGTGATATGTTTCACACTTTGTGTCCCCCAGCAGCTTGGCTTCCCAGTCCAAACTGTGGTATTCCCTTCCATAAAATGCAACACACAATGCAGTCGGTCCTTGATACCCACAAGAGATTGGTTAAGTAAATTGAAAGTAGATCTTTGTAAAAATTAAAAGTGGGAATGTGACAGGGAGGGGGAGGAAGGGTTGCAGTGTGTGAAGGAGGGAGGGAAGTTTCACTATGTTCCTAAATCTGTATATATGAAATACATGAAACTGTTATAAAATTAAAAAAAGAAAATTTTAAAAAAGGAAAAAAAAAATCTGTGGATACTCAAGTACCTTATATAGAATGACATAATATTTGCAAATAACCTGCACATACATCATCAATATAGTCCAAATCTTCTATAGATTACTTATAATACCTAATACAGAGTAAATGTTATATAAATAGTTATTGTTATTGGGGCTGGTGCTGTGGCATAACAGGTAAAGCTGTTGCCTCAGACACCGGCATCCCATAGGAGCACCAGGTTGGATCCCGGCTGCTCCATTTCCAATTCGGCTTTCTACTAATGTGCAGGGAAAGCATGGAAGATGGTCCAAGTGCTTGGGCTCCTGCATCCAGGTGAGAGACCCAGAAGAAGTTCTCCTGACTCCTGGCTTTGGACCAGCCCAGCTCCGGCCATTGCAGCAATATGGGGAGTGAATCAGAGGATGGAAGATCTCTCTCTCTCTCTCTTTCTCTTTCTCTTTTCTCTCTCTCTGTAACTATGCTTTTAAAATAAATAATCTTTAAATAAACAGTTGTCATACAGGTTAGAGAATAAAGACACAAAAATTCCAGATGCCGTTTTTCCCCCTAGTATTTCCAACACGTGGCAGGTTGAGTCCAGAGATGCAGAAAGCACAGACATGGAGGACTGACTATACAGGAAATCTCCAGTGCTCCTTCTTTCAGCTCTGCCAGTGGAGTTAGATCTGATTCCTCCACCACCTCCCAAATTGTGTGCAGGTTCAAATCTTCCTGGAAAGCTCCACTGCTCTCAATAATTCCAGATGCCTTGGTCTAGGTTTTAGGATGCCAAGGTTCTAGTTCAAGTGCTCCCTTGTGGTTGTTGAATAGAGCAAGTAAGTCCTCCATTCATTGCTAGGACAACCGGGCGTAATTTTTTTCTTAAGTCATCTAAAATTGAACCCTAGAACTAACTCCCTCCAGGTCCTCTTTAGCAATGCCCTCTGCAAGTTTCTGGTAACCACTATGGAAAGTAGATTTACAAAAATTCAGGTCAGTGGCTGCCATCCTTGATATTTATTATTATTATTATTTATTTATTTATTTGAATGTCAGAGTTACAGAGAGAGGAGAGGCAGAGGAGAGAGAGAGAGAGGTCTTCCATCCACTAGTTCACTCCCCAGATGGCCACAATGGCCGGAGCTGCTCGATCTGAAACCAAGAGCCAGGAGCTTCTTCTGGGCCTCCCATGCGGATGCAGGGGCCCACTTGGGCCATCTTCTACTGCTTTCCCAGGCCATAGCAGAGAGCTGGATCAGAAGTGGAGCAGCCAGGTCTCAAACCCAACCCATATGGGATTCCCGCGCTTCAGGCCAGGGTGTTAACCCACTGCGCCACAGCACAGGCCCCGATATTTCTTAATAAATGCTAAGGGAATTGACAGTTGTGTCCAAGAGAAAGGTGTTGGGTTACCCATGCCTGCTCAATCCTGTTCACACACAGCAGGCTGTGTAACTTCGCAAAACAACAACAACAAAATCTATTCAACCCCATCAGTTACAGAACCCAGCAAAGTGGCCGATAATCCACAAACCAGCTCCAATACACCCTTTACCACATGCCAAAGAATTACAGAATAATTGCTGTTTGCAATTAACATACACAGCACTGCAGGTACACTGTGAGCTAAAAATAACATGCTCTCCACAATCCTGTGGCCCACAAGAAGCTTAACAGAGGGAAGGTGGGAGGGGGAGAAGAGAGAGCGAGGGAGAGGAAGGATTTGCCATGAATCCTAAACACCTTCCTAATTGGATAATTAAAAAAGCTCTGGATGGCAGTTCAAAAAGCCTGGATTGTGGTAAGGTCTCCACCACCTATTTAGCCATCTGTGTGGCCTTGGCTTGATCTTGCACCCTATCTAGACTGTTGATAGGATTACAGATTTTGAAACCTAGTAGGAACCCCTTGTAAAGTTATCTAATCTACTGTGTTTTTAACTCTGTCATGCATCAGAACCACCTGGAAAGCTTGACAGAACACACAGCTGGTCCTCTCCACCAGAGCTTCTATGCAGTATTTCTGGGGTGGGGCCCAAGAACAAGCAATTCTAACAAGTTGCCTAGTGCTGCTACTACTGCTGCTCCTGCTACCACCCTCGAGACTACATTCAGAAAAGCACTGATCTGCACCTGGAGATGGAAATCATACCAACCTGAGAGGCAAGAAAAACATTATGCCAATGCCCAAGGTTCATTAGGCCTTTTATATTAAAAAAAAAAAAAAAAACTGGAGAAGCAGAGGAAAGTTAAAGACAGAAAGAGAGAGCTTCTACCCATTGGTTCATTCCCCCAAATGCATATGACAGTAGGGCCTGCGCCAGGCTGAGGGCAGCAGTCAGGAATTCAATCTGGATCTCCCATGTGGGTGGTAGGAATCCAGTAACCTGAGCTGTCACCACTGCTTCCCAGGCTCTGCACTGTTAGAAAGTGGAGTCAGGAGTCAGATCTGAAAATGGAACCCATGTATTCCGTTGTGGGAAGTGGCTATTTTAACCTCTAAGCCAAACACATACCCTAACCACAAGACCTTTTAAATATCTAGTTATCCAGTCGCAGCATCTGTATTTTTAACAAAGTACCCATGTGTTCTCAAGGTGCAGCCATAGCAGAGCATTGATTGTGTCCAGTTGTCTCACATTATAGGGAACAAAACTGCAGTTCAGAGAATTGAGTAAAATCCGGCACATTCATCTGCAAAAAGGGGAATGGACACAAAACACCTGAGACCTGGACTTATTCGATGGCTGCAACACTCTACAGCTGTATTTCTCCTAGTCCATCACCCACCAAGAATAACAGCCAGGGAGGCCTTCTTTATCTGACTGCCCCAAGCAACCAGGAGAATCTAACAGGGCCATGGTTGGTGGTTGGAAGACGCTAGCATTCTTAAAGTTCTCCTCCGTGTAGTTTCTAAATATAACAGGCAGTCAGACACTCTGAATAACTCTTGGCTGATTTGGCTTCCCTAGGATAAACGTTTTTTTTTTTTTTCTCCTAGATTATGCTATGCTGGGAATAGAGCCCTAAGGGGAGAAATTCCTTTCCAAAGTCAGAGCAGATAACACCACACCGTGTGTGGCATCCAGGTTGTTCTCTGTTGGAAGGAGAAAAAAAGGTGGGAGGCAAACTTCTAACAGCAGCCAACATCAAAAAGGATATTCATACTCAGTTCACGTGGTGTGCACGGAGGGGAGGCAGAGCAAGCAGGAGATGTGGTCAGGCCATAGACAATGAACACATCCTGCTGGCAGAGAGAGGAATGGGCTACAGGTTCAGGGGCTCCAGGTGGCTGTGGCACCATGAAAACTTCCCATGACAGCAGGCAGTGGTGGCTGCCCTGTGCTAGCTCCCAGCAAAGATTCAGAGGTCTCTTCACTGTGCACAGCTCACTCCCTGGGAGGTACACCCAGGTGTATGCAGCTCCTACTTCATTTCCCTGCCAGAAAGCAGCCACCCTTACCTGTCCTGGCTCTTGTTGCTCTTCACATTGGGGGAGAATTTGGTATGAACTAAAACTTGCCTGTACCATATGCAGAAAATGGTATCTTCTCTCTCACATCATACAAAATCCTTCCTCCTGGTTTCATGCAGGCCAAGCCTCTGTATTTTCCAACAGGATGATAAATCTGAGTGTGACAGACCTCCAGGTGATACCTGAAACCACAGGTAGCATAGAACCCCATACACACCAGGTCTTGTTTGCAATAGATACATGCGTTTGATAAAGCTTAACGTGTAGATTTGGCAGAATAAGAGATAGCCAATAAGTAGTAAAATTGAGAAATTGTAACAATATACTATGCAAATGTTGTCCCTCTCTCTCAATGTATCCCCCTAAACTGTACTCACCCTTGTGCTGCTGTGAGATGATATAGTGCCCACGTGAGGAGATGCACTGAGGTGAATGACACAGGCATTGGGACATAGCCTTGGGCTTTGATGTAAGGGTTACTTGAAGGCAAGCACTGTGGTGCCACAACATTCCATCTGACAAAGACGACAGCTACTCAGTGACTAACTGGTGGGTAATATATAAAATGTGGACACGTTGGACAAAGGGGTGATTCATATCGCTGGTGAGACTGAGCAGGATAGTGTGAGATTGCATCCTGCTACTCAGAATGGCATGCAATTTAAAGCCTACGAATTGTTTATTTCCTGAATTTTCCATTTCATAGTTTCAGCCTGCTGTTGGCTGAGGGTAACTGAAACTGCAGAAGGTAAAATCAGGAACAAAGGAGGACTAATGTATCGAGTTAGGTAGGCCATTGGGTATCACCTCATCCTCTCACTTTGAAGATGACAACATTATACATGCTGTAATATCTTAAACACCGATGATGTGTCAGACACTTTATAGAAATTAATCTAACCCTCCCCCAAACTTCAAGAGCTGTAGAGTTTGCTGATAACAAGAGATACAGCAGAGACAGAAAGAGAGGGAAGATTGTGCCCAAATCACACAGCTAAGAGTCTCAGAATTCATTGCAGATTTCTGACTCCAAACCAATGCCTTGTCATCATTGGGTAGGAAGAGGAAGCAGCCATGGGTAAATGTTTCCCACCTCACCCTGTCCAAGGCACAGGGACTACTGACCAGCCACCCCGAGCCAACATCACTGGGCTTTTCAAGGCTTGAGCCAAATCTTATTTACAAGTTCTAAATGTCCAGGGAGCAGTCTGCTCACTCACTTGTCCCCAGAGGATAAAACTGTCTTTCAGTTTCGATCTTAGTCAGAAACAAGCCCAGCTGCTCTTAACACTGAGCAGGAAATGACATGGACAACCAGGAACTTTGCTGCGTCTCCCCGGGAAGTTCTTCCTAGTGGTGGATTCTGAAGGAAAGCATGTGGTTTCTGGAAGATCTGGAGAACCTGAATGTGCCCTCCCACAATTGAAAATGCAAGTCTCTCCAGTGGATGATGTTATGCCCACAAAGCAGACTGGTATTTTCTATCTCTGTGGCTCTGTGGCTGTACACACACTTGTGGGTGTGTTCACACATGTATGTTTGCTGTGTTGGAGTAAGACGAAATCCCCACAGGAATCTCTTCTTCCATCTCTCTCTCTCTCTCTCTCTCTCTCTCTCTCTCTCTAGAACAGGGCTTCTCTCATGCTGCACTTTGACTTTTGGGACTGGATCATTCTTTATTGTGAGTTCTGCTCTACGATATCTCAGGATAGGCATCAGAATCTCTGCCCTCTATCTCATAGCCCCTCCCACCCAAACATGCCAATCAAAATTGTCTCATGGGGATCTAGTGTTTAGCCTAACAGTCAAGATACCTGTGGCCCACATCAGAGTACCTGGTCTCAATCCCCAGCTTCAGCTCCTGACTCCAGCTTCCTGCTAATGCACAGCCTGGGAGATAATGGTGATGGTTCACTAATAGGGAGGCTTGGATTGTACTCTTGGCTCTTAGTTTCAGCCTCCGACCAGACCTGGCCATTGCCAATCAGCAAATGCTAATTCTCTGTCTTTCTTTCTCTCTCCCAAATAAATATTATTTTTTTAAACTTTTATTTAATAAATATAAATTTCCACAGTACAGCTTATGGATTACAATGGCTTTTTCCCCCCATAACTTCCCTCCCACTCGCACCCCTCCCATCTCTGGCTCCCTCTCCCATTCCATTCACATCAAGATTCATTTTCAATTCTCTTTATGTGCAGAAGATCAATTTAGTATATATTAAGTAAAGATTTCAATAATTTGCACCCACATAGAACATAAAGTGTAAAGTACTGTTTGAGTACTAGTTATAGCATTAATTCACATTGAACAACACATTGAGGACAAAGATCCCACATGAGGAGTAAGTGCACAGTGACTCCTGTTGTTTTTGATAAAAAGAGCATCTACACATTAAAAAAGTGTTTCTAGACATTGTCAAATATCCCTTGAGGATCCTCCTGTTGAGAATTACTGTTGTAGAATAGCAGGACGAGGAAAAAGCGTACTCAGAGAGAACATGTCTGATATGCTCTTGGAAATAGCTGAAGATCCATGATCTGCATATTTTACTGAAACGTGTGTATTCTCCATTGATGTGTGACTAATAAAAGAGCAAGGCTGTACATCAGGCTCCTCATTTTCACCTAAGGCTCTCCAGTGGTCTGAGAGCTGTTGGCTAAATTTCCTGTTTTCTCTCTAGAAAGTCCCAGAAAGACCTCCTTCCTATTTCATTCTTCTCCACCCATTCTTCAGACCTGCCTCCAGTGCACCTACTCCTCAAAGATGTTCCAGATCCTTGGGAGCTCAGCTGTCCCTTAACTTTTATAAGCTCCATGTGGGAAGGTTTATCACCAGCTCTGCGTCCCTTGTGACCTCAGGACCTACAATAGACCTTGACACATATTAGGTGTTCAATAAATATATTTTTTAAAAGATTCATTTATTAATTTGAAAGGCAGAGTTACAGAGAGGCAGAGACAGAGGCAGAGGCAGAAAAATAAAGGTCTTCCATCTGCTGGTTTACTCCCCAAATGGCCGCAATGGCTGGAGGTGGGCTGATCTGAAGCCAGGAGCTAGGATCTTCTTCAAGGTCTCCCACGCATGTGCAGGAGCCCAAGCACTTAGGCCATCTTCTACTGCTATCCCAGGCCATAGGAGAGAGCAGGGTCAGAAGTACAGCAGCCAGGAAATGAACCGGCACGCATATGAGATGCAAGTGGCAGCTTTACCCACCATGTCACAGCAAGGGCCCTCAATAAATATTTTTGAATAAATACATTTGTAATAAAAATTTTCATCAACAAATGCCCTTACCATCTGTCTAGGTTATGTATTTCTTCAGAGTGGTTTTTCAAGGAATGTGCATCTTATCTCACCAAACAAATGATAAATCTTGAGGCAAGACATTTGGCCAAGTGAGACCAGAGCTCCTTGGACAGTCATTCTCAACTTGGGCTATATACCTCTTAAAAAAACCAAACATACAAGAAACATACGCCAGAATGAATAAACAGAACAGAGGTTTATTTATTTATCCAGGTATACTAGTTTTTAAAGGATTTCCCACACGCTTCTAATATAAAAGCAATCCTGAGACTATATACCCTATCAGTCTGAGAACAAATCTGGTACATCTATTTCACACAGGCTAGAGGAGGTTTAAATATCTTCTGGAGATAAGGTGCCCAAATTCACCAAAGACACAATTCTCAGCTTTTGGGGGTTTAACAGAAAATTAATGTGACCTCAGAATAGCTATCATAGATGAGAAGAAACAAAATGAGAAAATTAATAAATGATTGCCTAATAAATACTTAATGATCAGGAAATAAAATCTTCTAAGCATGAGTACCTGTGGGACTCCTAAGTTGTAAGCAGTATGTTAAAGTTGCCTTTTATCATTCAAAGTCCTGGGCAGAGGGAAAGAACTGAAAAAAAAAAAAAAATACTTGCAGACAAACAGATTGCATCTATTGAGGTGGTTTTTTTTTTAATTGTCATTGTGGTTTTCTGTTGCTTTGTTTTTGTTTTTGTTTTTGTTTTTGTTTTTTGTTAAGCTGAGCCAAAAGTACCCAAATTCTCCTTTCTGGAACAAAAGTAATCACAAGAAAACCTGACAGTGGGGCATGTGGCTATTTTTTTCCACATAATACACAGCCTGTTCTTCCTGCAGGGATCACAGAACTGTAATCTGCACAGCAGCTACCAGGATTCAAAGGAGAAGTGAGAAAAATCTCATAATGGGTGGGGATTGTGTTTAAAGAATAGATCTGGGTAAATGACATCATTCCTGGGTTTGTCCATGAATTGCATCTCACAGCTTGTCACACAATGACTTCTGACTCTCTTGGGGCCAACATAGCAGCCTCAGGCAGGCCTTATCAGAAGCAATCAGTGTGGAAAAGTACTTCCTGAAATAAAACTAACATAAACCAGGCGTGTCATAGTTGGTTTTGCTAAATTTCAGGAATGTGGGAGGAGTTAACTCGACTATGCACACAGGTTGAGACTAACTTGATTTGCTAAAAGCATGGTGTCCATTCTACATCCTTTTCTATTAATAGACAAGGACAGAGAAATCACCAGAAAGTAAAATCTTCCATTTTTTGTTTTCTAATTTTCTAAGAAGAGTAGAGCAGGAGTGAGAAGCAGGGAGGTGATGGATGGTTGCAGAGATAGCAATCTAAACATTGGTGGGTATTAAGATGAGAAGAACACAATCTGAAAATAAACTCTACCAAATGAGTCCCCACTTACTATTTGGACAATCAGGTAGACTCTGCCCTATTATTCCTGTAATCCCCAATAAACTGAACAAAGTCGGATTCATGAAAGCGTGCTTGTACTTGCTGAAACCCAGCAAGAAAACATTTCATTAAATTGATTTTATGCAGCTTTAAAGTTTAGAACCTTAGAGACACTGAACTGGAAATTACACCAGCAACCACTGCATCTGTTGCTTCACAGAGTGAAAGGTGAACACTGGGGAAGTCAAGTGATTGATCTCAGGCCACAAAGCTGTTTTGCTCAAGCTGGGTTGAATACCATGTTTTATTCTGCATGAAATTTTTAACTCTTCTCCACTATCATTTAGCAAAATCTACCATTGAGTACATCAGACCCAAGGGATATAAGACTTTTGTAATCATTATTGTGTTTTAAAACATGGAGGAAGATAAGTCTCTTTAAGTGAGGCATCATTCCTCTGTTTAAATGATCCCTTTTATGGCTGATAAATTGGCTAATTAAATTAGTGCTGAGTGCCTGTCTTTTCCATCAACAATCCTGCCCCCTTCTCATGAGTGTTTGTATCAGAGCAAACAAAGACAGAGGGATTTAAGTACTACAGATAAGGTCTTGAGGCGCCACAGAATACTACATGAAGAAAAGCAAGCTAGTGGCTTCAGCCATCTAAAGTGGACACCATGAGACCATCCATGGGATCCTCATCAAGAGAAAACACAGAGGCATAGCTTGGGGGTTGTACAACTACAAGAAGTACAACAGGGAACAAGCCAGCTGCTGGACTGTGCCACAATACCTTGCAAATGCATCAGAAAGTTCATGTTGTCCCCCTCAGTCACTCAACAAGGCTTCAGTGACTTACGCTGTCTCCTGCCCTTACCTCCTGCCGCTGCTTGAAGCTGCTCAGGAAAGAGACAGCTTCTCCTCAAATCTGCTTAAGACAAGTGATAGCATTTCTCTCTACCATCAGGGCTGACTTTTCCAGATGGACACTGAGACTCTACACCCTGGAGAATGAATGTCTGTCAATAGCTTGAGGGTTTAACCTACCCAACATTAAGTGGGAAATAATCCTCAGGGATATATACTATCTTTGATCTTTAAAGCATAGCTTTGTTCCTATCTTAAAAAAATATTTCCCCCAAACTAACCCGTACATATGTAAATGAGTCAAACAGACAAATTAGAAGGACTTAATTGACATTACAGAAAGTCTTGTGTTCTTCTTTTCTTTCTTTAAAAGCAAATTTTGATTTTTCCCTAGTTTCTTAAAAGGACTAACTTCTACAATACCAGGATATTTGAAAACAAAAGAAATAAAGGGAATTGACTTAACCAAAAAAACTCAATTGCTACATACCTTTCCAGTAATTCACCTGTCTCCCAAAGTGAGAGGGACCTGTCCCCAGTTTCACTACCACACAAGTCCACCGGGTTGTACGTTCAGCTGGGGCTTCTTGGCTGGTCTGTTCTACCTTTGACTTGGCATCATTTTCTTGAGAAGGAAAACAGTACCTATTCGTGGAGACCCTGAAAGTACTTTAGGCTGACAGATGCTATATAAATGAAATATCTTTACAATTACTGCTACTGTACTATTTTGAATTGGGCTATATCACCATAACTAAGAGGAGAAGCCTGCCTACACAGTGGCACCCTTTCTCATCTTGGCACACTTCAGGCTCATCTCCTCATAAATAAAATCATTCCTAAAGAAAGAAAAGTAAATGACCACTGAAAGCATTATTGGTCCTTCTACATTGCTATCCACCATTGGAATTAAGCTGACAGGGCATCAGAGTCTGTAAACTGATTCCCAGGTAATAACTCAAAATGCACTCCTTTCTTGGTACCCAAAGCATTTTCCGTCTGTGCTCTGAGTAGACAGCACATTTGAGAAAAAGATCAGAAGCTGAGAGCTATTGACAGCATGTCAGGAGCATCTCAGCATGACAGCTGATGGAGACGACCACATTTCCGCTGACAAACTCAATTGCTTGAGTAAATCATGTGAAAGTCAATACAAACCTCCCTCCTCCGCTCCCATGTGGCTCTCCAACCCAGGGCCGCTGAACTCATTCTTGGGGAAAGAAAGAAAGAAGTAAGCCTCAAATCTTTAGGGAATGCTTAACTGATACCAAAATGTTTTCTTTCTTTCAGAGGAAGCTGCTTTTTACCAACTCTAACTGATATTGTCCTGGAGAGCATAAAACGTATGCTCTCTTTCTCACAGCTCCTACATGGGCTCTTGTCTGCATCCCTTGGTCTTAACTAGGAAGGCATGTATTTCCAAAGGTAAGATCTCCAAGTTCCATGCAGTGTAACTGACCTTTTGCTTTGGACAGTGTTTGCTGC